TGTCTTATCATAACTATCTACCCTAATTCAAGCTGATTGGCGCGGCTCGATGAATTAATTGCCGCTTTCAAACAGAGGTTTATTATTTTAAACCTCTAGAACCAGGGTACCTTTTGTCACACTGAGGCCAGCGAAATAACCTCTTCCGCAACATGCACGTACGCGTCTACTATCGTCAAGAAACAATCAATACGTATAATCGTTGTGGTCTGTGGGATTTTAATGAGATCAATAGTGTAAACCTTGCAGTTTTAGGGAAGCCTCACATATCGATTTTTTCCACAAGAAACGTCATATGTTCGTTTTGGGGGTGGGGGAGGGGGGTTTACAGCTGTGACGTTTCTCTGTAAATATCATGGAAAAGTTCGATAGTTTTTTCGAATACCTTAACATTTCGGAATCAACTTTGCAGAGTATAAAAAGAAAACAACTTGAAAGAAAACGACTATTCAAATATAAGGGCTGGTAAACTAAAAATAAAAACTCCTTATTTGGATAAACATTATAAACATTCATTTCACATGTACACGCACGCTAACAGCTGCTTAATAATTAACTTACGTATTTGTAAACATCAGTCGATAAATAAAATGGTACATTAATATGGACAAAATGGATCAAAACCTCTGAAAACAGCAGTTGTAGTTCCAATTCTTTTGGGGAATTTAGTAGCAAATATAATCCTTAAATAGCTCATCGAGTTGTATATGTTAGCGCTAAAGTCAAACGGCCGGGTCGTAGATCACGTTGAATAATGATCTGAAGTTATCATGCAACCGTCAACAATGTCTCAAAATACTGGATGTTTGATGATTTTTTTTACAAATATACCGGGATTTCTGGACCACTTTTAAACTTAGCAAAGCGAAAAGTCCCATTCAAGAATATGTTTTTTCTCAAAAGGTAAAATACTTAGAATACTTGATTAAATTGTTTACTTCGACGGTGTATAAATTAACAGCGTTTGACTTGCAAGACGTCAAAAACGGAAGATTTCAACGCGCTGTCGTTTATCGCGTATTCATTTGCCAAAAGAAGTATTTACGTCAATTGAAAGCTTGTTTATTAAAGAGCCAACTAGTAGAAGCATAATCGATTTAGAGCTTTATCGCATGGTGAAAATCGATTTTGTCAAGAGGGTATCGTAAATGAAGTAAGATAGTGTGCTCCAAAACTACGATTATTTCTATTCCTAAAAGTAACTCAGATTTCCTGTAAGTCATGTACACAGTTCTTTGAATAACATAAAACAAGATTTTTAGGGTTTTAGATCGATTAGAAACGGTTGTCGTCGTGAAATTTATCTGTAAAATCAGCGCATATTTTCCCAGAAAAAATAGCGATTTAGGGTGGTCTTGTTAAAACGGCATTTTCTCAAAGTTAAAAAAGCATTTGACCTAAAAAAATATATGGTGCATTTTCCGATATAATAAGGTATATCTGGGCAAAATTTGAGCAAAATCGATTTTTCAGTCGTGGCCGCTTTATGTTTGATTTTTGTGGACATCCTCTCTTAAAACATTTGATTAAAAAAATTCCTATTTTTAAGGATATTTCCTTAAAAGTGAGAGCACTGGCGTTGGGGATCATATTATTCATACATTTGAAACGGATTTCAATCTTGCATATAAGTATTTAGTTTATTATTAATTCAATTAAACCAAGTTGGCGATGATCAATTTCACCCAGGCCGGGCTCTTGAGCTGGCTCTTTATATAATATAGGGGGGGGGGAGTGAATAGGTTTTCGGATCGTCAGATTTCACAGAAAAAATTGTTCGGATTTCGGATCTGGCGAATATTTTACTACCCTGGGGCGCTTTCCATTTAATGGGACCTGACCGGTCAGACCCGAATTCTTTTCTCCGTATCAATGGAAAGACATGGTCTATGTTTCTCAAATACTCTAGCGAAAAAGGACCTCATTCTGTTCTCATGATGTTATCTAAAATTTCCGGTCAGATAAGTCCGTAGTCCAAACGTTTTGTGTTCCATTCAACAATTTGACCGTTCTGACCGGTCTGGCCGTGTATTAATAATGGAAAGCGCCCCTGGATTCCAGAACGTCGTGAAGGCTCTGGTTCAACGGGAGGGTTCTTTGATTAAACCGCGCCAATCACAAAACAGAATTAATGTTTTAGTACAGAATCTGTACTGACCACATATATAGCTACATTTATAGCGTAGAAACTGAGCTTAAACGTGCGGAATTATTGGAAGGTATATGATCTATAATACATACATATCTGATATAAACTATATGCGGTATGACAGTTCGATTTCACAGATTTGTACACTCCATGAATCGACTGAATCTTTCTCTTGGCTTTGCCTTTCAGTTTGTCATCTTGGACTTGGTGTTAGGTTATGGCTACCTGACGCGAATACTCGCAATCTTTTCCCACTAAATTAGATGCCGCGGTCAACGAGCTATAGCTAAATAATAAAATAAACAGCTTTTACATGAGTAAAGTGTTGACGTGTTGTTCAATTGCATATATATCATCTTAGTCTTAGAGTCAAAGAAAGATAAAGGCCATTTACTAGCGATATGAATATTATTATTAATGATGCTCGTGAAAGCTCTATGCTATGTATACACGGCACATGCGAATGTGATATATGATAATATCGGCGCAAACCAAGCTAACAAAGCCAATTATTTAAACTCATTGGCACCATGGGAGGAAGGATATCAGCGCATATTAGTCAATGTTTTTCAGCATAAACATCGCAAAATGTCGCGCATGATATTAAATGAATAGCATTGTAAAATCACTCGCGCTACAAAGTAAACAAATTATGTTTCTAAATGCCCTTAGAATATTGATAAATAGTAAAATGAGTTACCTGCATTGACATTATAGACGTAGCCTAGTCTAGTGACTGCCAAGTCAAAATTTGTATCCTTTTCCAAATGTTTCATGCATAAATCTTTGTCAAAGCGAATTCTGACTGACTATGACCCGCACTGTATTCATTTAGTAACTATAGTTCTTCGCTATGTCGTTATGACCATTGTCTGCCATCGATATAAGTTGAAACGATTCCCATTACCAGTTCTGTTATGTTGCCGCACTAGACTTTGGAATATGAACATACCCGCACGGAAACGCAGAATCAATTTAAGATTATGAATAAAGCTCAACCAATCAGGACGTAACATGTTTGACGGCAACCTCCTCTGAGTTGTTACACTGAGTTGTTTGTCCACGCACAAGCGTTTTGATTGGATGGATTATCACCGCGGTAAGTTCAAATTTCAAAATATGGCCAGACTGGTCGTTATGTTATTTTGCAAATTTATGTTGCCGATACAAGAGAAAGACTAAATCAGACAGAGAGCTATGGGATGTGAATTGAGATTCGCCAGTAAGATGAAGCGCGGCACCAGGTAAATCATAGTTCTACCGGGTGTCCCAAAAAAAAGTACTCCTGTTTGATTCGTAATAATGTCTAAACAAGTAAAGCTTTTAAAGAGAAACAACTTGCATCAAATAGAGGAAGGACTAACTTAGATTTTGATATATTACAGTTGTATTTCACTTAAAAATTCGCGGAGATATTAATCTTTAAAATCGGGAGCATATTTCTGGATGTGTCCGAAATATGCAAAAAACGGCGTATCAAATATTAATCAAGATTTGCCCGACTGAAACGTGCACTATTACCAGTAAATAAATGACACTTGACAAATTGTTTATTATGAAACAAAGTATTATTATATCTACAAAAAACAAGCAAGATTTATTCGTCCGAAATTCGTATGTGTTCCTAGCACGAATACGTTTCCTTATTTCATGAGACCACTGCATCACGAAGGATCGTCATGGATCGTTCGTAGTTCTGAATTAAGGCATGCTGTCACAACGGAATTGTGAAGCTCTTCTAACTTCTGCAACGTTCTGAAATCTTGTTAAGAACACCCAAACTCTTTTGCCTTTTCTTAATCTTGGCAAGTTCAGAGTAAACTGAGAATTATATGAAACACAATCAAACCATATAACTCCATAAGACATAACAATTAAGCAACTCCCCAGAGACATGCAACATTTTTGGAACAAAACGTAACAAAATAGTAGCGTTGATACGGTGATGTGTATTTGCAAAAAGCAGTATTATTTCCTTCAATAAAGAATAATATTCATCCTGCTTTAACCGAGAAATAATCAACTCAGTCTGTTTGAACCCATTAAAAACATAAAAAAATTAGGCTATTTAAGAATAAGAAAAATTTAAGCGCCTGCCTTCCATGGTCAGTCTTTCATGTACATTTAAGTTTGTAAAGACCTAATATTAAATACTTGCATAATTTCGAAAGTTCATATTTCAGGAAACAATGAGCTAAGACTTACATGTAAGATGTCTAAATCTACGCCATATCCCTTACAAACCCTAACGATAATTCGCTGAAATACAAGTTAGCCTGATATGTCATTAAGCAAACAAACGCTGGAGTTAATATTTGATAAGCCGATTTTCGCTAATTTTAGACACATCCCAAAATATGCTCCCGATTTTGAACATTAATATCTCCGTGAATTTTAAGTAAAATACAACTGTAATATATCAAAATCTAAGTTAGTCCTTCCTCTATTCAATGCAAGTTATTTCTCTTTAAAAGCTTTACTTGTTTAGAAGTTATTACGAATCAAACAGGAGTACTTTTTTTTGGGACACCCGGTATTTGTTATGAATTGTGTATTGCGAGAATTATGAAATCGTAATTTTATATTCATGTTGCAAATAATGCGCGCAATTCGCTGAACCAATACGTGACAACTGTAGATCATTTGCGGTTTGCACTGATATTAATTATAGCTAGTGTACCGCACTTACTTACAATGTATACATATATATAATATTAGCTATATCATTACTTTAATAGTCCTTGACTACCAACAAAACCTAGCTCTGAATCATACAGGAGCGTTTTCTCTTAAAACTTGAATTGCAATGATTTTATATCAAATTTCATTCGTACGTTGTGGAATGTGTATATATATGTATAGGCCCTTCACGACCTTCAAATGCATTACACTTAATTTAACTATAGTAAATTATCTCTGGGTTAAGTTTATTTACAACGCGTCGACACCTTATTCATATTTTTTCTAGTTTATTATAGCTACTGTACATGGCCATGGCCATGACTAGTCAGAAGTATTGTGAGTATTCGACTCTACTCATACTGTGAAGAATGAAGACATATGAACGAACGACAACTTTGCATAATTAGCTATATGTCACAAAATGTTTTCGATTTTCCTTTGCAAGATAAGCGATCTTAAATATAGCAAAGCAATAAAGGCCTAGTCTGCGCGCAGACTATATAGCCTAATGACATATATAGTCATTATATATTCTGCGCGCAGGCTATAGGAAAGGCCAAATACGACACTTATATTGCATGTGTGAATATTCATACAAAATATAATGGTTGGTTAATATTATATCAAGATTTTGACAAACTCCAACCAATTTCACTGTTTGAAATTCTGCTAGCTAATTTATATATCTGCATGGTTGGTATTTATATAAGATTTTGACAAATTCAAACCAGTCTGTCCAGTCTCGGTGTCTGAAATTCAGCTACCTAAAATATATCTGTAAGTATATTTTGACAAACTCAAACCATTTTCGGTGTCGGAAATACAGCTACTTCATTTATCTCTAGTTGGTACATATAGCCGATATATATGATTTTGACAAACTAGCTCAAACCGTTTTCGGTGTCTGAAATTCAGACAACTAATTTATCTCTACATGGTTGGTATTTATGTATGATTTTGACAAACTCAAACCGTTTTGGGTGTCTGAAATTCAGACACCTAATTTATCTCTGCATGGTTGGTATTTATATATGATTTTGACAAACTCAAACCGTTTTCGGTGTCTGAAATTCAGACACCTAATTTATCTCTGCATGGTTGGTATTTATATATGATTTTGACAAACTCAAACCGTTTTCGGTGTCTGAAATTCAGACACCTAATTTATCTCTGTCTGCATGGTTGGTATTTATATATGATTTTGACAAAGTCAAACCGTTTTCGGTGTCTGAAATTCAGACACCTAATTTATCTCAGTCTGCATGGTTGGTATTTATATATGATTTTGACAAACTCAAACCGTTTTCGGTGTCTGAAATTCAGACACCTAATTTATCTCTGCATGCCGGGTTGGTATTTATATATGATTTTGACAAAGTCAAACCGTTTTCGGTGTCTGAAATTCAGACACCTAATTTATCTCAGTCTGCATGGTTGGTATTTATATATGATTTTGACAAACTCAAACCGTTTTCGGTGTCTGAAATTCAGACACCTAATTTATCTCTGCATGGTTGGTATTTATATATGATTTTGACAAACTCAAACCGATTTCGGTGTCTGAAATTCAGCTACCTTATTTATATTTATCATCTGACAATGGTTGCTATCTTTATATATGACAATCTGGAACTAGTGTCAGTCATGTAAGTATGAATACTGCCAATATGCACTTTAGCATTAATAATTTCAGAATGGTGTCTCGTTTAGATAAAAATGCTGGTTTTCTGAAAAAAAATAGTATTTCCATTTGCTAACATGAAATCTTCGCACTTTTTGCTATTTTTTAAAAAATTTTCAGAAAAAAAAATAATTTGGAATTATTGAAAATAGTTTGGAACGCGTTGAAACCTAAATCAGAATTCACTGTATTTGAGTCAATTACCACCAACAAAGTTTATTATCTCCTACGTGGCCTCTCTAGTGCAAAAGCCACTGGCATTGACAAAATTTCAAGTAAAAATTTAAAACTAGCAGCACCTGCTATCTCCAGTTCATTAACTTATATTTTTAATCAGGCTATTACACTATGCACTTTTCCCGATGAATGGAAAATGGCAAGAGTATCACCTCTTTATAAAAATGGCCAAAAAATTTGCCTGGTAACTACCGACCAATTTCTGTTTTGCCAGCTGTTAGCAAAGTTATGGAAAGAATTTTATATGACCAACTATATGATTATTTGACGAAATTTCAGCTACTTAATGATTGTCAATTTGGCTTTCGCAAATCTCACTCAACTGCTACAGCGTTACTAGACTGTACTAATAGTTGGTATATGAATATTGACAAAAAATTATTTAACTTGGTTGTACTAATCGACTTAAAAAAGGCATTTGATACTGTCGACCACCAGATTTTACTAAAAGAACTCGAAATTTATGGCGTAAAAGGAGATGCTTTGGCTCTACTAAAATCGTACTTGATAAATCGCACTCAGAAATGCCAAGTTAATGGAACTATTTCATCGGAGCGGTTGATTAAGTGTGGCGTGCCACAAAGCTCTATTTTAGGGCCATTATTCTTTTTATTATATATTAATGACTTGCCTCAGTGTCTAAGCAAAACAAAACCTCGACTGTTTGCTGATGATACAAGCCTAACAGCTGCGGGAGAATCTATAAATGATGTTGAAGCTGCAATGAATTCTGATTTAGAAAACCTTAGGAAATGGTTAATTGCCAATAAACTAAGTTTAAATGTGGCCAAAACAGAATTTATATTAATTGGATCTAAACCAATGATAAAAAGTATCTCAAATAAACAACCAAACAAAGAAGTATATGATTGCAAAACTCTTGGAGTGACTGTTGACCAGCATTTGTCTTGGAAGAATAATACTGAAACAATTTGCAAGAAAATAACATCCGGGATATCAGCTCTTCGTCAAATACAAGAGTTTGTTGAGAAAGATACACTTGTCTCTGTGTATAATTCTATTGTTCGCCCATACTTTACATATTGCTGTGAAGTATGGGATGTGTTTGGTGAAACACAATCAAAACGCCTCCAAAAGCTCCAAAACAGAGCTGCTCGAATCATAATGAATATGAGCAATGATGTAGATCATCTGGTTGCTTTAGATGCTTTAGACTGGAAGCCACTTAAAACGGAAAGAATAAAGGCTAAGTCCAAACTGATGTTTAAATTGTTGAATAAAATGGGTCCTAAATCACTTACTGATTTATTTACTTTCAAAAGCGAAATGACAAATTATAAACTTCGAGATGTGGAAAGTACTCTTTGCTTACCACAGCCGCGTACAAATAGCTTGAAAAAAAGTTTCATGTTTGACGGGGCACACATTTGGAATTCTTTACCAACCGAAATTAGAGAGAGCAACTCCATCATGTCCTTTGAAACTAAAATCGCTACTCACATTTTTGAATACTCACATTTTTGAATAGCATTATACTTCTTATACTTATATAATTATGTGTGTATATATATATATATATATATATATATATATATATATATATATATATATATATATATATATATATATATATATTTCTTACTGTATGTAATATCTTACTATATACTATATCTTTGTAATTTTATTATTGTACACTCCCCTTGTGGAAATCAGCCTAGGTTGACAATGGTTAGCGTGTTTAAATAAAAGTTTCTATCTATCTATCTATCTATCTATCTATCTATCTATCTATCTATCTATCTATCTATCTATCTATCTATCTATCTATCTATCTATCTATCTATCTAGTACCTGTGCTATTTCCCGATGACTGGCCGGTGAGATCATCTTTTGTATTGCTGCTCAACAAGCACTGTACTTTTACGCGCAGATTTCGATTCAGTTCTAGACATACTACCCGGAAAACATCGCGGAGAACAAACGCAATTTGATTCAGTTTGTTCGAATGGACTAGCGCCACGGTCAGCAGGTCAGGAATTAACAGTTTAGGCTTTCCTGATATTTCTACATCTTTGGGCTGGTAATGGTGTTGAAACTTCTCGTGTAGTACTGTAGTGTATTAACAAAAGCCAACTTTCTCACATATAATCTGAGAGCACAATTCCGAAAGATTGTTTTCTTTCTGATGATTTTTTGTGATGAAACATGAACAATTTTACTAAAATTGCCAAATTGCTGTTTAATCTAAAACAACATTTACAAAATCTGCAATATTGTATTAAATTGTATTATAATATTGAGTTTAATAATTCGCAATTTTGTTTGTTAGACATGTTTACGTGCAAGCGAATATTTTAAGAAACCAAAAACTGGGGCACAGAATAAGGCACACACCTGGCCGCCATCTTCCTAGCCAGTCGATTTAGTTTTCTGGCCAATGAACGCGCTGTATTGGCTGAAGGCCCCGCCTTCTGGCCAGTCAACTGCATATTTTTGCATAGAATAATGGTGACACGTTGCAACGCTGAGTGGCCCTTCTGGTACTGATCTTTAGTCTGTGACTGGGGCGTGTATAGTCATGAAAGGCGGGCTTTCCTGCAGGCCCTTAATCCTCCTCCGGAGCCCGCAAAAATCCTGCCCGCTGCAAATCAGGCCCCCCATAAATTTGAGGGCCTGCCACGCAGGCTATATAGCATATGAATTTAATCTATTCATGCTAACTATCCCTCGTTCTCAAAATAACTACTTGACTGCGTATCCCGCGTAAGCACTAGAATATAGAGCTACCTTTAAAATTAACACTATGACAATTTAATCTATTAATGCTAAGTCACTGTATGCCTCGTAGCTACCTTTACCACCATGGGATTTAATCTATCCTTCACTAGACTATGAGAGTATCAATCTATTTATTAATAATCTCTTGAGAATAAATATAGATGTATTAATACATAGTATCTATGATGTTTGAAAGGCATAGCTTAAAAAGTGGACGGGTTTTCTACAATTGCTCCGAAAAGACGGTTACAAAAAATATTTACAAAGGTAAAGAAAAGAAAGTGGAAATGACGAATATAACTTAATAAAATATGTCAGATGTCATCACTACACAAGATATGAAGCCACAACGTGTCCAGCTTAGATTTTGACATCTTATCCAAGCAATACAATATTTTGAAATCACCAATTGCGTGCGCGAGACGCACTGGGAAGGCGCGTCTAATAAGAAGAGTATCCGCCGAATATTTTGTTGAAGGGCGCGGGTCAATGATGTGTCCGACTATCAATGAGGAGTCCGACTGTCCACAGAAAAAAAATTTGCGCCGGCTATCGGCGGCAGTTTAGGACCTTGCCGGCGATTTTTAATTTCGTAACATAGGGATTGGCAACGGCATACTATAACGAAGCTGTTATCGACTCCATGGTTATATGGCCATGCCAATGCTCTGGAAGATAGCCAATGCTCTGGAGGAAGCACGGGAACCGTGGGAACTGGTCGAGCTGTGTCTCTGCTGCCCGTACGGCAATGCATGCAGTTTGCGAGTCGTTCATCTTGTAATTGCGTGTGGTCAAATCTGTCTGGCGCAACAGGTTGAACGTACGCAACTTGACTGATTTAATGCGCATTAAAGTGATAGTTCCAAACCTGCACGTTTTCCGTAAGCGTTTTGTGAGCTTGCTGTGGACCTCTGGAATAGTGATTAATCACGGAGGAAGACCCAAGAGAACAGAAAGCAATATGCTGTAAGAGGAAACGCATCAAAAAGGACAAGAGGGAATAATTCCTTAGAGTTTGGTTGAAAGCTAGACGTTGGAGCTGTGGGCGAACAGGATCGGAGAGTGAGGAAAATAAAGAAGAGATAGAAGCTGATTTATACAGGAAGTTGCCACAGAACCGGTCAAAAAATCCCACTAGTTACATCTGCTCTGTGGGAGTTGCCGGACAGCTCCGACGACAGTTGTCGTGAGGACCCTCTCCTGGGCGGAATGAGAAGCAGTGACTCTGAGTTACCGTGACTGGTGATTCAAACTAAACTATAGTACTCTAGTGTTCTATAGTGGGTCAAGTGAGAAGAATCCAAAATGAACTGAGCACCAGATTTTGTAAACGGTGACGGATTTTTGGTCGTTTACGACGTATTTAAGAACATAGAAATTGTTAATGTTTGCTCCTACCCCAAATAAAATGTATTGCAGCTGTGTTCTTACAAATGTTGTGTTGGTTTACATCATTATTATTTGGCCTATGCCCACTGCAGAACATAACTAAACTTTGCTTGGAAAACAGCCGGCAAAAATTCCACCTAAAAAAACAGACTAAAAAATTTGACATGTATTCAGCACGTAATTTCGAACCCTGTTTAACACGGTGCAACGAATAAAATTGTTCAAATTTATGTCGAAGTTTGCCGACCCATAATAGCCACAAGTAATCGAATATCCATACAGTAAAGTTTTCAAAAATATTGGCGCTCAGAAAAATGATGGCTGAGAAGCAAGTGCCCTTTTGAAATGGCTACCCCCGCCGCTTCACATTGCTTCCGGCGCCCCTGTACATACTAACATTAATGCATTATCTAGCACTGTAACCGTATTGTTAGTGTCTCCGTGAAAGACTATCCGTTCGGAGTCTTTAATCCACCACTTGTTGAAAACGACAGTTTCTGATAGCTAAGTAACAATAACTGTATGTCTACATAATGTGGATTGTTTAATTGATAAATGTGTAGCTTTGAATCTAGTGAAGGTAACCATAAGTAAGAGGTGGCAAACTTAAGGCTGATTGGTTAGTTGAAATTATCTCAGAGAAAAAAATAACTTGATATCAACCGGTTGTCGACTCCGTATTGCAGGGATATAAATGGAATTACAAGCACATCGTCGTATATCTCTATACCTTTATTAATTAGTAAAATATTAAACAAAACATGATGAAGTGCTCATTGAAATTTACCAATGTAATAACGATCAAGGAAATTGCCCCTGATGTTTGAAGGACATTTATTTGCATCAAACTTTGCAGGAAAGGCATTTGGATATTGTTGCATAAATTGGTCCACGCTTTCACATTTGACAATTCCCTTTTCCTTTGTCATTCTTTGACTATTACAGCCAGTTGTTGGTGTTTTGTCCTTACTGCCTACATTGTTGTCAGCAGTAAAAGCAACAGACTTTTTAAGTACTGGATCAAACACAATGGTCCAGTAAGACGCTGGAACTGTTACTTTATCTACACCCAGAAGGAAGGGAAATGGTAGGGGGTTTGTTGTCTTTGTATCTTTGAACTGTCCAACTAGACAAAAGGACAAAAGAGATTATGGACGATATTATGGACGATATTGTATGTGAATGAGATTATGGACGATATTGTATGTAGTGTACGTACAGTACAGTATTACTAGAAAATACATGCGTGCAGAAACCCTCGCCTTGCTGACAAAACCATTGCATTTTCCGAACATGAAGTATCTAAAGTAGTTGTCATGGTAACACGATAAATTTTTAGGAATATTTTTACAAATGAAAAATCGCTAAAAAGTATCACTTTTAATTACAAAATTATCAATTTCCCAACATATATATCTTAGGTATGTTATTATACGTAATAAAAGCTTCAATTTAAGGTAAAATTCAACCACAAACGCTTCGCAAAACGTTCTTTATAAAACTAAACTGCCTTTAGTAATTAAATGGCCGTATCGATAAACTTTGAGTTTGCAACAAAATGATTTCAAATTCTCGCATTCAAATAACTTTGCTTTGGTTTTTATTTTAAAAAAATCAATATAATAAAAAAGGGAATCAATATTAAAAATACACTGAAATTATATGCTGTCTTGTTTAGTTGTTTTATATACGCAAAGGCCATCGGGTTTTAAAGCAATTATAAAATCAATATTTAAAAGAAACTTACCTTCGTTAACGTCGGCTCCCTTCTTTTAGTTGTTTCTTTCGTTCTTTCTTTCTGAGAAAGCTTTTGAAATTTAAAAAATCTTGAAAAAATGCGAGCAAAAATGAAATATATTTGCAACAAATTTATCAACCATCATATCAAGAAATGTTTGCTATTTCGCTGTCGTCATGCAGTCGTTATTATGCAAACTTTAAATTGGACCAATCAGTGTTCGCTATTCATGACAGTCCGCCACATATTTTGAGATCAGTGAAGATGACCACCCACCGAAACATCGTTGGTGAGCCACGCCCGCGATTATTGATGAACTTTAGACTTCGCTAATGCTTTCGTTTCCCCGGGTGTAAATAGCCGAGGGGAATTAGTACCGTCGCACGGCGCTTCGCGCCGTCGGCTCGGGGATAATAGAGTGTTTAAGCACGTAAGACGGCAACGTCAGGACGACGGCTCTCAATACAATATCATTAATTCTATAGCACAAAAGAAATGAATAATTAAAAGTATATCTGGAGTTTACCACGTCGTCCATGCTCTGTTGACGACAGCAAAATGCACATTTTAACGTGTTGTAAAGTACGCTAGCATTTCAAACCGTGGCAGGCGATTTTCTAACAGTGTTGATCAAAATTGCTCTGAAGGTTAAAGCTCTGTTTTAATCGTTCTAAACTGTATTAAATTCATAACAAAGTAAATACAGGACAACATTTTCATACAATTATTTATTTCAAAAAGTTTGTTTAGCCGTCGTCTTGACGCTGCCGTCGTACATGCGTAAACTCCATAATACTTACGAACTCCAGTTAAAACATAAACATCTCGTACAGAGTCCGCATAAGCTTTAATAGCCTCTTCGAGTATTCTCCAGTTCCCGCAATTGAACTTGTGCCATTGCGGAGCTGCGTTGGTGAAAACAAACGTTAAATCTTTTTCAGATTGGGTCAGAAATGCCAAGTTCGGTGTAAGATGGCCTCTGGATAGAAAATAATCTTTCTTTTGATCCCATTGGTACTTGGTTTGGGGACCGTACTTAACCATTTGGGCTGCCGAATTGTAACTGGCACCTGAGGCTTGGAGAGCTAAAACATTCGAATAAAAAGATTATACAACGGTACAAAATCAACTTTCCTATCTTCATCACTTCCTTCTTACCTCCCTCTACTGCTCCCTATTATTTATCTTTCTATCAATAAACTACCTGATTGCCTGCCCGTCTACCATCCATCCATCCGTCCACTCATCTATCGATCCAACCAACCTAACAACCTATCAACCTCTCTCCTCCCGGCCAGCCTTCGTGTGTTTCCATTCCTTCTGTGACCAACGTCACTTCCCAACGATCCTAATTCTATTTTATGAGTATTTATGTTAACTTAGCAACACCTGCATTCAGTGTGATATCAGGTACAAAAGTTGGTCTGGATTTTTATTTTTTTTGGGTGGTGGCGGTGAATTTACAGATGTGCTCTGTTGTATCACATAACCGGTGAATTCTGGTATCTTTCTTTGCGTGTTATAACATACGGCGAATTTGGCTGGCTTGGACGGCAAGCCATAACACAGTTGTACTTGGTTAGCTCCGTTACAACTTGGAGTTGTTGAGAGTATTTTTCCAGTTTTCCAGGAAGTGAAGAGGCAAGCATTGATATCATTTGAAATCGGTGAACCCTGACGTGGTGTCCGTACAGATCTCTTTTTCACAAAAATATCGTTCTCTGAAAAAAATATTTAGTATTAATGCAGCGTTGTTTAGACCAGACTATGCAACTAACGAAAACATAAAACAAGTTTCTTTGACCCTTTCTGCGAACGGCTTAGTCTTTATTTTTTAATAACATTTATATTTTCTAATGTTTTTAACGTTTTTAATATTTTTATATTTTTATATTATTTATATTTTTAATATTTTTAATATTTATATTTTTTACTATTTTTTAATATAATTTTTTTTCTGTGCTCATAGAGATTATAAATTACACTTGGGGTCATCGTAATCGAAGTTCCGTCAAAAAAGAGAACGCAGCTAGTGGGGGCAAAAAAATGAAGTACTAAATTGAAGGCGAGTTTGAGCCAAAATCTCTAGATTCGTGTTTATTCGAGATAAGTATTCACCTTTAACAAGCATTTTAAACTAAATTTTGTGAACAACACAGTTTTGAGAGGGTTGAAAAATAATGCTGCCGTCAGCAATTTTGATTTTTTTCAATAAGCCAAAATAGTAAATCTCGTACAATTTCTCGTAACATGAAAGTTTTAGGAAAGAAAATTGGAAGGGGGGAGAGGTAGAAAAAATTGAGGGGGAAATGCTCCCCCTTCTCCCTCTCTTGCCCCGCCACTGCCTCGATTAACATGCGAAGCGTTTCAATCGCCGCTACCAGGTTGATATGATATAGTTTGAGGCCCACTTTGTCTTTGACGAAAAAACTCGCAAAATTGGAATAGATTCTTAACAAATGTTTTACTAATGGTAATACCTTCTGCTATTTCTTCCAAAACCGATAAAGAGGAAAAAGATTCAACTGATCGCGTGTATCCAGAAACGAATAAAGACACAAGGGTAAAAACAAGCAATGTTGACATCATGTAGAAACTAAAATAGAAAACAACATTTTCATATTGTTAGAAAGCCAAATTAAACCCAAATTTATGAGTGTTTTGTGACATTCGACACAAATCTCAAAATTCTGAAATATAACAGAATGCCTTAAAGGCAAAGACAGTAGTATATAGCAATATTTTTCTTTTCGATATTGGTCAAAATTTGAAAAGTTCTTTTCATGCCCAGAAATAATGGTATAATATTTTATTATTATTTACATCGATATAATGCATCGTAAAAGCTGACGGTTTTGTAACACGCTTTAGTTTCAATCTATTCCAGAATATACGACGCATCCGGATCACAAAGTTTACAGCCAATTTGCAATGAAAACTATCGTTCTTTCGGTTTTCGATAAGATCTATTAAAGAAAAGATCTAAAATGACATTCAATGCGATCGTGGTGATGTCTGCTTTGAGGTCAGTGATAACAACACGCACATAATATTTTATTTAAAGCTCAAAAATACGTTTTTATTACATTCTAGAATCCATTTAGTGAATTTCACAACTTCATTTTATTTTCGTTGTAAAAATCGGTACAAATCCGTAGTATAACTCGTAAAAAATTGATTGGACGGGATAATTAAGCTAAGAGGCTAAAAAAACTTATTACGCGACGTGTCCATTATTTCTCGCCATGTTAGGAGTAATAAGAACAGATTTACAAATATATATACCTGGATAATATAAATTACCTTCAACTTTACACTTTTATTCTGAGTCCACTGCCAATGGAAAAGTTAAAATGTAGTTAATTTAACGTTACACAACATATAGTTGAGAGTTCTGCGGGTGGTTTATTCACATTTTCCCATCGAGCGTTTAGTAGTTACATGTTCTGTCATTTTCACACCAGGTGGTCTATTCTAACGAGACGCTACCTCATTGATCGCTATTATTATTATTATTATTATTAGAACTTTATTTAAAGAAGGTTAATTCACAAGGAAATATGCCAGTTTAGCTGTCGCTAATCTTCCACTCAGTGAACATTGATTTAATTAGCAGTACAGGGATAGGACAGCAGACGTGCTATTGAATTAAAGGGTTTTCTTGGAATATATATGATAATTTTAAAGCATCAACAGAAGATAGAGAGAATATTCGTCTATAAATTCGGTGAAAACGTTGGTGTTATTCAACACTTCCCTGCGTTTCACGCTTGTCAGACATTTGCAGGTACTGAAAATTTGAAATTCAAAGTGACAATATTTCCCCTGCAATTTCACGACACCGATAGTGCAGAACACGCATATAGCACACATTTATTTTGTGCAGAACTGATATAAACCTACTAAGAACAGATAATTGATATGGCAACTCGTATATTACACGGGTTTAGTATCACAACTCGTAGATTGCATTATTTTGGTGTGACAACACGCATATATTGCACCAATTTGGTATGAAAACACACACAAATACGTTAATTTAGTGTAACAACACTTATACTGTACCAATTAGGCATGACAACTCGTATGTTGTGCCGAATTGGTATGACAACTTGTATATTGCGCCAATTTGACATGACGACTCGTCTATAGAGGGTTAATTTTGTATGACAAATCGAATATTGCGCCAAATTGGCATGAGAACTTGTAACTTGCGCAGATTTGGCATGGCAACTCGTATATTACACGAGTTTCGTATGATAACTCGAAGATTGCAATATTTCGGTATGACAACTGGTATATAGCACGAATTTGTTATAGAAACACGAACATTGCGTTAATTTAGCATGACAACACGTATATTGTACCAATTTGGCTTGACAACGCGTTATATTGCGAAAAATTGGTATGACAACTCGGATATTGCACCTGTTTGGTTTCACAACTCATATTTTACACCAATTTGGTATGATAACTCGCATATTGCGCAAATTTTGTATGACAACACGTATATTGCGCCAATTTGGAATGACAACTCAGATATTGCGCCATTTGGCATGACAACTCCTTTATTGCACCAGTTTGTGCGACAACTCGTATATTGCACCAAATTGGTATCACAACTCGTATATTGCGTCAATTTGATATGGCAACTGGTATATTGCGTTAATTTTGTAGTACAAGTCGTATATTGTAACAATTTGTCATGACAACTCGTATATTGCGCCAATTTGGTATGACAACTAGTATATTGCACCAGTATCTACGACAATTCGTATATTGCACCAATTTGGTCTGACAATTCGTATATTGCGCAAATTTGGTATGACAACTCAAAGACATATAATTCGCCATTTTGGTATGACAACTCGTATATGCGCCAATTTCGTATGATAAATCGAATATTGCGCCAATTTTGTATGGTAATATTTTATTATTATTTACATCGATATAATTCATCGTAAAAGCTGACGGTTTTGTAACACCCTTTAGTTTCAATTTATTCCAGAATATACGAGACATCCGGCTCACAAACATTTCTCGCAATTTGCAATGAAATCTATAGTTCGTTCGGTTTTCGATAACATCTATTAAAGATAAGATCTAAAATGACATTCAATTCGCTCGTGGTGATGTCTGCCTTAAGGTCAGTGATAATAACACGCACATAATATTTTATTTAAAGCTCAAAAATACGTATTATTACATTCTAGAATCCATTTAGTAAATTTCACAAATTCATTTTACTTTGATTGTAAAAATCGGCATAAATCCGCGGCATAACTCCTAAAAAAATTGATTGGTCGGGATAATCTAATAGGCTAAAAAAAACTTATTACGCAACGTGTCCATTATTTCTCGCCATGTTAGGAGTCATAAGAACAGATTTACAAGTACAGCTGCAATATATACCTGGCTAATATTACTTACCTTCAACTTTACACTTTAAGCGTTTATTCTGAGTCCACTGCCGATGGAAAAGTTAAAATGTAGTTAATTTAACATTACACAACATATAGTTGAGAGTTCTCCGGGTGGTTTATTCACATTTTCCCATCGAGCGTTTAGTAGTTATATATTCTGTCATTTTCTCAGCAGGTGGTCTATTCTAACGAGACGCTACCTTATTGATCGTTATTATTATTATTATTATTAGAACTTTATTTAAAGAAGGTTAATTCACAAGGAAATATGCCAGTTTAGCTGTCGCTAATCTTCCACTCAGTGAACATTGATTTAATTAGCAGTACAGGGATAGGACAGCAGACGTGCTATTGAATTAAAGGGTTTTCTTGGAATATATATGATAATTTTAAAGCATCAACAGAAGATAGAGAGAATATTCGTCTATAAATTCGGTGAAAACGTTGGTGTTATTCAACACTTCCCTGCGTTTCACGCTTGTCAGACATTTGCAGGTACTGAAAATTTGAAATTCAAAGTGACAATATTTCCCCTGCAATTTCACGACACCGATAGTGCAGAACACGCATATAGCACACATTTATTTTGTGCAGAACTGATATAAACCTACTAAGAACAGATAATTGATATGGCAACTCGTATATTACACGGGTTTAGTATCACAACTCGTAGATTGCATTATTTTGGTGTGACAACACGCATATATTGCACCAATTTGGTATGAAAACACACACAAATACGTTAATTTAGTGTAACAACACTTATACTGTACCAATTAGGCATGACAACTCGTATGTTGTGCCGAATTGGTATGACAACTTGTATATTGCGCCAATTTGACATGACGACTCGTCTATAGAGGGTTAATTTTGTATGACAAATCGAATATTGCGCCAAATTGGCATGAGAACTTGTAACTTGCGCAGATTTGGCATGGCAACTCGTATATTACACGAGTTTCGTATGATAACTCGAAGATTGCAATATTTCGGTATGACAACTGGTATATAGCACGAATTTGTTATAGAAACACGAACATTGCGTTAATTTAGCATGACAACACGTATATTGTACCAATTTGGCTTGACAACGCGTTATATTGCGAAAAATTGGTATGACAACTCGGATATTGCACCTGTTTGGTTTCACAACTCATATTTTACACCAATTTGGTATGATAACTCGCATATTGCGCAAATTTTGTATGACAACACGTATATTGCGCCAATTTGGAATGACAACTCAGATATTGCGCCATTTGGCATGACAACTCCTTTATTGCACCAGTTTGTGCGACAACTCGTATATTGCACCAAATTGGTATCACAACTCGTATATTGCGTCAATTTGATATGGCAACTGGTATATTGCGTTAATTTTGTAGTACAAGTCGTATATTGTAACAATTTGTCATGACAACTCGTATATTGCGCCAATTTGGTATGACAACTAGTATATTGCACCAGTATCTACGACAATTCGTATATTGCACCAATTTGGTCTGACAATTCGTATATTGCGCAAATTTGGTATGACAACTCAAAGACATATAATTCGCCATTTTGGTATGACAACTCGTATATGCGCCAATTTCGTATGATAAATCGAATATTGCGACAATTATAGGTATGGTAATATTTTATTATTATTTACATCGATATAATTCATCGTAAAAGCTGACGGTTTTGTAACACCTTTAGTTTTAATCTATTCCAGAATATACGAGGCATCCGGCTCACAAACATTTCTCGCAATTTGCAATGAAATCTATCGTTCGTTCGGTTTTCGATAAGATCTATTAAAGATAAGATCTAAAATTATGACATTCAATGCGGTCGTGGTGATGTCTGCCTTGAGTTCAGTGATAACAACACGCACAAAATATGTTATTTAAAGCTCAAAAATACGTTTATTTTACATTCTAGAATCCATTTAGTAAATTTCACAAATTCATTTTACCTTCATTGTAAAGATCGGCATAAATCCGCAGTATATCTCGTAAAAAAATTGATTGGTCGGGATAATCTAAGAGGCTAAAAAAAACTTATTACGCAACGTGTCCATAATTTCTCGCCATGTTAGGAGTCATAAGAACAGATTTACAAATACAGCTGCAATATATATACCTGGATAATATTACTTACCTTCAACTTTAGACTTTAAGCGTTTATTCTGAATCCACTGCCAATGGAAAAGTTAAAATGTAGTTAATTTAACATTACATAACATATAGGCTAGTTAAGAGTTCTGCTGGTGGTTTATTCACATTTTCCCATCGAGCGTTTAGTAGTTACATGTTCTGTCATTTTCTCAGCAGGTGGTCTATTCTAACGAGACGCTACCTCATTGATCGTTATTATTATTATTATTAAATTTTTTTTTAAGAAGATAATTTAAAAGGAAATATGCCAGTTTGGCTTTCGCTAATCTTCCAATCAGTGAACATTGGTTTAATTAGCGGTACAGGGATAGGACACGAGGCGTGCTATGGAAACTAAAGGTTTTCTGTTTTCAACAGAAGATATAGCGAATACTCGTCTATAAATTCGGTGAAAACGTTGGTGTTACTCAACACTTCCCTGAGTTTCACGCTTGTCAGAAATTTGCAGGTTCTGAAAATCTGAAATTCAAGTGACAATATTTCCCCTGCAATTTCACGACACTGATAGTGCAGAACACGCATGCGCATATAGCACACATTTATTTTCTGCGGAACTGATATAAACCTACTAAGAACCGATAATTGGTATGGCAACTCGTATATTACCCGGGTTTAGTATGACAACTCGTAGATTGCACTATTTCGGTGTACAACACGCTTATATTGCACCAATCTGGTATGAAAACACGCATAATACGTTAATTTGGTATAACAACACTTATATTGTACCAATTTGGCATGACAACTCGTATATTGCGCGCGCATGCCCACCTTTAATGTTGCTATCCACATTATATATAGAGGATATTAGACGGTTGGGAGGGGGTATGAATTTTATGTTCGAGTGACAAAAACAAGAGATATTGTTTCTGACACGAAAAAATAAAATCCATATCATATCATACCATGTTCTGTTTATTGTATGGACTTATTCATAGTGACAAAAATAACCCAAAGACGACATGTTAATGTATGCGCGCGAAAAGCCAGTATAAAAGCGATATTTTAATATTTCAAGTGCAAACATAAAAATAGAATAAATTTTACTTATGTCAAGATTCCTTTTAAATGTTTTCGTTCTATTTCCTGCGTTAATTTTGTTTTAAAACGTACCAAAGACCAGTAGTATTTTCAAACAATAACAATGAAAATGGCGGGAAATCTCGAACTTCGTATGTCACTAGCAAGCGTGAAATACGGAAAATACGCGCATCTGGACGTAGTGGTATACGAGTTCTATTGTCAAGTGCTTTATAGTTTCTTGTAACAAACCATTGTCCGTATGATGTTATATTCCGGCTGCCAACTCCGGATGAGAGAAACTGTGACCAAGGGCATAGTTTTGCTCATGCAGACCGACGCTGCAGGCAAATATCGTGTTTATTTTTTGCAGATGTGAAAATAAATTCATTAGAATTTCAGTGTTGCATGTGAACTAATTTGAGATCAGTGTGGTTGTGTATAATTAAAACGAGGCTGACAAATATTGAAAAGTTGAAAGATAAACTATAAACACCAGGGCCGTAGTTAGAACGATAATTGGGGGGAGGGTATGTTCATATATTCGTGTTCTGCCTGACGGATTTCTTTTGAAATCGATTGTTTTTACGGTATGTAAACATGAATATATGAATATACGTACACCACCGCCCCAATTATCGTATCTAGCTACGGCCCTGATAAACACGAATATACTCGAGAAAACAGGCGAGAAACACAAAAATGAATGAATATGAATATGTTGTCCGAAAAACTAAGGAATAAAAAGTTTTGACAGAAAGCTTTGACTCATACAGTTGACAACGACAGGTTCATATTCACTTGTTTGCCGATCAAAAAGACATATATATATATATATATATATATATATATATATATATATATAAATAAATTTGTTTTGATTTTATAAATTAAGCCTTTGTACTAAAAGGACAATGAAAGAGGTGTGCTGTTTTATATTTTTTGGATCTGGTCATTTCACGATAATATGCTTGAAAAATATGTTTTCAAACACGGACTTTCACTTTGTTCACAATATTTATTTCAGCAAAAAATGTATGACACAAATGGATATATAAAGAATATTTTCTTGACTTGTTTATTTCACTGCAGCTAAACCAACTTTTTAGATTGTTTACTTGGGGAAAACAATTATTTCAAAATATCTGTTCAAACTTGGGTTTTTTTGCTGTTATGTGGCCGAATACATGGACATTTTAACAAAAATAGATAGCTTTATTGGAGTGAGTATACATGAGACATGTTAAATAACTTTCTGACTTTCGGTTGCATATTTCTCTCAAAATAAAGTCAATTCTGGTGTACATCGTATTTTGACCATCGTTAGGCTACGATTTTCAAACTTCTTCGGCAGTTTTTGTACTTTAAAAATTCTTTCACTTCTCGGTTTTGGCGCGAAAACCAGAGCTGGCAGTTGCATCACACACGTCCAGAGCGGGCCGGATGCAAACAACCGGCCCGCTCTAAAATGCTCCTAGGCCTCAGCCAATCAGATTGCTTCATTTTCACTGATAAAAATTAAACACTTCATATTTATTACGAAAAATTCAACCTTTCAACATTGACTTGGAGGAACGGGGGATACCTATTTAGAGAAAGACCATTCGAGGCCAATGTCTGTGGATTTCTCCACAAAGTGTTGCATTGTAGCTCATCTGAACTAAACAGTCGATAGAACTACGTGCGTGTACTGAATGTTAATGAGGAAAATTGCTTAAATATTTCGAGATATACTAGGCATATTTGTGTATTTATTGGTAAAATTGGGAGGAAATGTTAAATTAAGTTTTAAGAAATATATTACGTGACTCATGCAGGCATGATTATATATAAAATATGACATATAAGTATTCTTTATTAAGACGTCGGTCATGGATATATTTCCGGTCCTTTGCAGCAGGCCTGAAAAACTTTGCATAACAATATCTGGAGCTTGTCTTACTCCTTTGTCTAAAAATTGAATTTATTTCCAAGTATGCTTATAGTACATTACATTTACCGAGTTATATTATTTATTTATGTTTACATATTTGGAAGAAGGACTATAATAAACTCAAAAGGCTTTTGCGAGTAGTCCTTCTTCAGATAATACTTAGCTATAATGTTAATATATGTCTATTTCTAATATCTATCAGCTAAACATTGCGGTTCATCAGTTCAATTGGAGTACATATAGTTAAATTATATGCGGAACAATTACTAAATACATTCTATATAATCGTACTCTAAAAGTTGTTTTTTATTCCCTAGTGTACACTAATCATTATGTTTCTAATTTTATTCTATATAACATGACGTTATTTTTTTTTTTTTTTTTTCAAATATATTTTCATTTCCGTTTTGAATTTCTTTTTTGTACATGAATCTTTTATTTTTTTTTGGTATTCCATTCCATATATCTGTTCCCCTATATTTTATTGAAAATTTTCCATAATTTGTTCTATTGCCTTTTTTATGGATCAAATTTGTACTTCTTGTATTATGCTTATGAATTTCGCTATTCAAAGTGAAATAGTTCTCAAAAAAGGTAGGTAAATTTCCTTTTGCGTAATCGTACATAAAAAGGCTAATGCATAGTTTGTTAAGTTGCACAATTTTTAACAGTTTTGTTTTTCGAAAAAGTGGTACCGATTTTGCATTATATGAACTTAATGTGATGATTCTAACTGCTCGTTTTTGTATTTTTAGAATCTTTTTTAGTTTTGAGGGATAATTATTTGCCCAAACTGCATTACCGCAATATAGAAAAGGGTAAATTAGTGTGTTGTATAATGTTGTTAATGTGTCACTTTTTAGGAAGTTGCGTGTTTTGTTGAGTATGCCAGTTGTTTTGGCAATTTTATTAGCTACATAGTTTATATGATCATTCCAAGTTAAGTGTTGATCTATTATCATTCCTAGAAATTTCGTATTTTTGACATGAGCAAGATTATCATGTTCCATTTTTATTTTTATTTCATGTTTAAGTTTCTTTGTCTTAGATTTAAATACTATGTAATTCGTCTTTTTTATATTAAGTGTTAATTGATTATTTTTAAACCATTCAGATATTTTTTTAATTTCATTATTTACAACTAATTCTAGTTGTTCAATATTTTTCCCAGAATAGAAAAGATTTGTATCATCTGCAAAAATTATGAATGATGTTAATTTACTTGAGTTAAATATATCATTTATATAGAATAAAAATAATAGTGGTCCTAAACCAGAACCTTGTGGTACCCCACACTGAATTTTTTCTTTTCTTGATAATATATTATTGAATTTTACTATTTGTTCTCGATCAGTTAAATAGTTATGAAACCATTTATAAGGCATTCCCCTTATGCCATATGATTCTAATTTTTGTAGTAAAATTTTATAATTTACTGTATCAAATGCTTTTGACACGTCCAGAAATATCCCTATCGTAAATTCATTGTTTTCAATTGCTCTTTTGATTTTTTCAGTTAAGTGGATATTTGCCATTGTGGTTGATCGATTGCGTCTAAATCCATATTGATTATTATGTAAAATATGATTTTTTTCAATATAGTTAATAGCTCTTTTGTACATTAGTTTTTTCTAGGATGTTTGAAAAACATGGAATAACTGATATTGGTCGATAATTATTGAATTCTTCTTTATTTCCAGCTTTAAATATTGGTGTAATCAGAGATATCTTAAGATCTTTAGGAATTATCCCTGTTTCGAATGTCAAATTAAATATGTGGCAAAGCGCGCTACTTATTTGAGGTGCTATTTCTTTAATTACTTTTGGATGAATCCCATCATAACCGTGACTCTTGTTTGGTTTTAGTTCGTTTATTATTTCAAATACTTCTGATGTTTCTATATCGGTTAAAAACATTGAATTTCCATGGTTCCCTTCTAAGTATTGTTAACACGTTCTACTATAGGGTCCAATATTCTATTTAACAGAATTTGAGAGGAAAATGAGCGAAAACACTAAAAAATGCAATGAATACAGCCATGACTGTGGAGAAATTATACATAAATGTAATAATTCTGCATGAAAACAAGAATTCCTTTTCAAACATGATAAAAATTGGTTAAAAACATAAGAATAATTGCAAATGTGGACAATGACAGATTTCATGTTTTAAAAGGAAAATCACATCAAATGCATGTTAAAAATGACTGATAATATATTCAGCAAAAACATACAAATTTTGCAACAATTTTAGCTTTTCCAAGTTGCAAAATATGACTAAAATGATACTAAATCTCTAAGAGGAAAAAACTGCTAAAAAATTTGGGCAAAATTTATTGTTTTTAGCAAAGTGAGTAAAAGGCATGTGAATAAAAGGGAAAAAAAGAGGAAAATGTTATAGTTCCAAAACATGTCTGGAGGCAGCCACAGTCAGTGAAAATTATATATCAAGAACATGGCACATGCCACCTTCGATATATCGAAAACTCTAAACTATCCAATGCTTCAATATACCGGTATCGAAAGAATGCCATTTCTTCGATATATTGATAGATTGCAATTTCCTCGATATATCGAAAGAATGCCATTTCTTCAATATATTAAAAGAATGCCATTTCTTCGATATATCGAAAGAATGCCATTTCTTCAATATATTAAAAGAATGCCATTTCTTCGATATATCGAAAGAATGCCATTTCTTCGATATATCGAAAGAATGCCATTTCTTCGATATATCGAAAGAATGCCATTTCTTCGATATATCGAAAGAATGCCATTTCTTCGACATATCGAAAGATTGCAATGTCCTCAATATATCGAAAGATTGCAATTTCCTCGATATATCGAAAACTAAACTATCCATGGCTTCTATATATTGAAAGAATGCCATTTCTTCGATATATCAAAAGATTGCCATTTTTTCAATATGTCGAAAACTCTAAACTATCCATGGTTTCGATACATCAAAGAAATGGCATTGTTTCGATATATTGCAGAAATGACATTCTTTCAAATTCACTTTTTTTGAAAAACCAAAAGGATGTCATGTCTTGCCAAAACAAGCCATGTTTTAAATATTGATAGTAAAACTACAAAGTAGGGCACAATTCAGCTCAATGGGTTAGCAATATGGTATACACTCAAAATATAACACATTCTACGATAGGGTTGCATATATTTCTATTTAGCTTTAATCAAAATAATCACATGTACAGTCAGGGCCGCCAAAAGGGGGGGGGGGAGAAAATTGCCCTGGGCCCCCACCTTAATAGGGCCCCAACTTGGGGCAAGAGCCTAAAATTGAGTAGGTTCTACAAAGAGCATTTTTGAAATTGAGGGCCACTTACAGCACCTCCACATGCAGTCTAGCTAAGGAATATTTGAATATTTATTACTTCTCAACGCAGGAATACTTAAAGATTAAATCAAGCAAGGTATGTACTACACAATTGCTATTTATTTCCCCCGAAGAGAGAGTACAATCTCATTATCTCAGGAGTATATTGTAACGGAATTTTATTTTGCTGGTTTACAACTTGTGTATAAAGTATATGAGAAAAAAATTTGTCTTGAGTTACAGTAACAATTCCACAGGATGTTGGCCTCTCTGCAACTGATTTATTTCTTACAAAGACAACATTTTTTCTTCGCTTGACAGCTTTTTGATAGTGTAATATTTATAACAATATTTCTTGGGCATCTCACTTGATTGAAGTCATTGAACTTAATAATATTGAATTATGAATGTGAAGAAGTTTGTACATGGTCTATAAAGAATAGGCTTTTCACATCCAAGCATTGCCAATGGAGGAGGGGGGTGAGGGCACTGAGGGGCGATCCCTACATGTAGCTTCAAATTAAATATGTACCTTGGTCATTTTAACCTGATTTGTATGGCCTGTTCAAATGAGCCATAATAATATTAGCATAGAAAATTACATTTTGTTCATGTAAGGAAGCACAATCCCAGATTTTAATTTTAATTTTAATGAAAGCAAGTGAGAATTATCGGTGTTCTATCAATAGGCATAGCATCAATAAGAAAAAGCTAACTGCAACTAGGGTATACAAGGCACTGTTATCAATGTGTCTAATTTGATCCATTGCTGAGATGATTAATTAAAATATAATCGAAAAATAGAATTACCATTGTGTGCTTTATGAAAATACGTACAGTAGTGCTTCCCGTAATCACCATTCATTAATAATATCAATTCCTCCTTAGGATTATGTTGACGAGGGCTATATGTAACAAACCAGTCATTGGTGACGCTAGATGATCTTCATTCAAGATTCATTATCGGACAGGAATCATCATCAAGAAATGGTCTTTTCATTGGCTGATAAAAATGAACCTTGGGCAGATGTTTGCCAGGTTGTATATTTCTTGTAGCCTTTGACTTGCATAAGGAAAAGAAAACATATACTGACACTACATGCTAGATGACGAACTCATTGTTGAAGAACATTTTAGTATTGTTTATATAAAAAAAGAACACTGTAAAGTCACCTTGTACTGAACAGAGTAATGTAATAAGCGCAGAGCTCGGCACAGCTAATTTACATTACCATTTGCAGTCTAAATGGTAATAAATGTGATATTTTACATTCATCCAGCTTTACTGTCTTGCATTTTGAGGAGCATTACAGTACAAAACTTCAATGCTTGCCTACTGCCCTTTCATTATATTACTCTATCTAACAGCATATAAGGTCAGGGATGGATCCAACTTGATCTGGTAGGGGGGTGGGGGTGGGGGTGCTCTGGTGCAGACTGCCGAGTTGTGTCGGTCATGTGTGCTGCCCCCGACCATCAACTAAGGTGTGCACCCCCCTGCACCCCCCAGTAAATCCATCCCTGTATAAGGTTATATTTCATTAAGGGGTTGAGTCTTATTAATAGTTTATTTGTGAATTTATTTAAATATATATCATTTTGATATTGAGCATAATAGTTTTCACCTAAATACATTGTGCTTTATATATTTTCTATTTATGTATGTGTATAATGCTAAATAGAATAGAATATTATTTTTTGTTAAAATGTGTTGATTTAGGTTATGTAAGATGTCACTAAGATGGTTTCGATAAATCGAAACATTGACATGGTCTCGATAAATCGAAACATTGACATGGTTTCGATAAATCGAAACATTGACATGGTCTCGATAAATCGAAACATTGACATGGTCTCGATAAATCGAAACATGGCATAGTCTCGATAAATCGAAACAGTGACATGGTCTCGATAAATCGAACCATGACATTGTCTTCGATAAATCGAAACATTGACATGGTCTCGATAAATCGAAACATTGGCATAGTCTCGATAAATCGAAACATTGACATGGTCTCGATAAATCGAAACATTGACTTGGTCTCGATAAATCGAAATTCACATGGTCTCGACAAATCGAAACATTCACATGGTCTCAATAAATCGAAACATTGATATAGTTTCCAAATATAAATTGATCAGAGATGCCTTTGGTTAAACCAACATATTTTCACTGTTAGCTGTCATGCTACTTTTGCATTATTTGATCCTTTTCAGAACAGTCTATAAAATGTGTTGTTAATTTTAGGTAAATTTGGTTGTTTTAGCAAGAGAAGAAAATTTGCATTCTTTTTTTTGCACAAAAGGTGATTTTAGGCACCAATTTTTCTGTTTTTTTCAGTTTTGGACAAATTTGTTTAAAAATACGAAAATTGGCACCATTTTTGGGTAAATAGAATATTGGACCCTATAGTAGAACGTGTTTGTTTAAAATTACTTGAATGTTTGTCAAATTGTTTTGCCAGATTTGGTCCAATATTGCTGAAGAATTCATTGAAATTGTTAGCTATTTCTGTAGGGTTGTTTGCATACTTTTTATCGTGTAGAAAAGATGTTGGTAGTTGTGGTTTGTGTTTTTTCTTTCTGATTAATTCTTTTATTGTATCCCATGTCTTTTTAATGTCACTTTTACAGGTCTCAAATTTTTTGTCAAAGTACATTTTTTTCGCTTTTCTAATTACATGAGTTAACTTGTTTCTATAAAGTTTATATTTTGTTTCATTTATTTCATTCTGAGTATTTAGAAATTCTCTATAAAGTTTATCTTTTTTTCGAGAAGATTTTACGATGCCTTGGGTAATCCATGGGCTTTGATTTAATCTTACTTTTGTTGCTTTTACCGGTCTTAAGGGAAAGTGTTTGTTATATTTATCTGTGAATGTTTTCATGAATGTGCTATATGATTCATTTGGATCGCGTATGTCAATTACGTTTTGCCAGGTCTCAGCTTTTATATCTTCTCTAAATTGTCGTATGTGTCTGTCATTTATGTGTCTAATCATATTTGTCTTATTTTTTGACTTATTTAAGTTAGATACATTTTCTTTGCTTTTATTTATTAGAGAAACTGGTAATTGATCTGATATATCATTAAACAGTATTCCACTAACTTGTGTATTATTTTCTACATTAGTGAATATGTTGTCTATTAGTGTTGCTGTCGTCCTTGTGATGCGAGTTGGTTTTAATATAGTTGGTAGGAACATTGATGACATCATTTGATTTAAAAATCTTGCTGAGTATTCGCACTTTTCATGTTTTAAAAGGTCTATATTGAAGTCACCTAATAGATAACAAGTTTTCGATTCATTATCTAGTCTATTTAAAGCTGAGTCAATTTTCTCCTTAAAATCTTTGTACATATTATTTGGAGGTCTATAGACCAGTCCTAATATTATATTTTTTTCTTTCGCATTTACTAATTCGATAAAAATACTTTCAATATTACTTGTGTTACATTCGCTTGTTATATCGTTTCTAATTTTAGCTTTAATGTTATCTTTAATATAAATACAAACGCCTCCACCTATTTTAGATTTTCTGTTAAGGTTAAATTTTACATAACCTGGTATATTAAATTCATCAGCGTCACAAGTTGTATCATTAATCCATGTTTCTGTTAGAGCTATCACTGTAAAGGAATAATTTAACGTCGCTAAATAGTTTAGAAAGTTATCGAACTTATTTTTTATGCTTCTTATATTTAGACTTAATATAGAAAACTGATTCCCTAGAATATGCTCTCGTTTAATTAATTCAATGAAATCAGTAGTTAGATAATAATTGTTTTCCACAGTTGTCTCATGTTTAGTGCTTGTGTAATAGTTGTGGTCTGGATTTAGACTTCCTAACATGTCACTGTCTATGTTACGTTCGTTCCCTGTTGCATGTTGATTTTCAAATGGGTTAAAAACCAAATTTTCTAAAGTGTCAAGATCATGTTGTGTGATATTTGTGGTTAAGTCGGAAATTGCATCTTGAAAATCTTGTTCGATAAGCTGATTAAAAGGTAGACAGTTTCCTTTCCATTTCCTGCAGATGAAATTATTGTCATTTTCTAAATTCTTTAGGTCTTCACTCTTATCACTATAAAAACAGTAATTATGAAATTGTTTCATGCAGTTTTTACATGCTTTCAAAATCCCCACTATCCGACGCTTACATTCGTTGCATGTTTTATCTATGGTGGTCATATTTGAAGTTGAATTTCTAATTAATTAATTATTTTTCTTTACTTACGTATTATTATTTATAAAGAGTCATTTTCCGTAGTAGAGTTGTCCATTGATATACAATTTATCTTTGACAAGCTTAACTTTATTCCCTTCTTCTTTTGCCTTTTTGAGAACTGGATATAAGCTCTTCCGTATGTCTGCTATATCTTTTGGAAATTGCTCCCCAATTCCTATCGATGTACCTTTTAGTTTGCTCGCAGATCTCTTTACCAATTCTTTGTCTGGGTAGCGAAGGAATTTGACGACAATTGGTCTTGGATTTCCACGTCTGTTTCTTCCTATTCTATGCGCTCTTTCAATGGGCATTTTGCTGCTTGCATCATCGATCTCGAGTTTGTTTTGCAGTATTTCATATACTTTTTCTACACATTTTTCAGGGTATTCATTTTCCGACTCCGGTATATTAAATATCAACAGGTTGTTCCTCATCGAGCGCGCTTTAATGTCGACGATCTCACGATTCATTTTCTCTTTCTCTTCTTCAATTTTTGAGACCCTTTCCTCTAGCTTTTTTATTTGCTCATTTTACTTCTTTTGACTTGATTGAATTTCACTTGTTGTATCATGTTGGTAGGTTAGGGAGTGCTTCAAGTTGTTAACTCACCGTCAATGTTATTTAGTCTCGTCTCTATGGCATCAAGCTTGTCGAGTTTTGTTAATTTTTCATTCATGGACGAGATAACAGTCCATATTTCCTCAAGACTGACTTTATTGGATTCCGGCATTTTCGGTTCTTTTTTACTTGGTTTAATTGGTGTACTATTTACGGAATTATTAAGACTTTTTGCGGAGCGTTTTAAAGACATTGCTTCACCTGATATCTGATTGATCTCAAATCTCTACAAATCTTAAAAATGCTTTGTCCTACTTCTTTGTCTGCCAATCTCACAGCTGTCCATCCTTCTCAGTCACATATTGCTCTCAAATATTTTAGCCAACTGCAAAGGGCCTATTTCTCCCCGACGAGTTGTTGCTACGTGTATGATGACAATCTTATGAAAATACCTGTCAAATATTTGTACTTTATGGCAGCACACTTATGCGAATGTAAGCACCTTATCGAAGTTTGTATGTTAACAATTGGGCAAGAAGCCGAATTTTACACAGCGGGTCTCACACACAAACATCCTTCTGCTAAATATTCTTTAAGCTTCTACAATTACTTATCTAAAAATCACCGTGGCTATTCAGTATAGAATATTTCCAATTTAGTGCTGCTAACGAATAGATCATTTACGTTCATTTGATGTTTGAAACTACCTAATATTTGGCAAAGTAAAAGTTGTAACTTTCAGCAGTCTGGTGACGAGTTGACGTATATGAGATCTTACGACACGCAATACTAAAATAATTTCTCGATAAAAGCATTAACGACAAGTGTTTTTTATAAGAGCTTGAACTTGGAAGTTGAAAAGAAAAGTCAGAATTTTGACCAGAGTTTGCGAGTTAATTGAACTCGCCTGGAGAAGATAAGATTAATATATTACAACAACAACTGAAAAATATTACGAAATATTAAGAGGTACGTACGAAACATGCCAATTCAAGTAACATATTTATCATATACAAATATATATATATATATATATATATATATATATATATATATATATATATATATATATATATATATATATATATATATATATATATATATATATATATATATATATATATATATATATATATATAATTTCGCTTACCTCAAAATTCCGCAACAGTCTGTTTCATACCGCCAAAAAAATTTTAGAAGAGGAAACAGACTGTTGCGAATTTTGAGGTAGGCGAGATTCTACATTTCCTCTGTCTTTATGGTATTGTGCACTCTGCGTTTCGTATACATAAACCTACTCGCAATATGACCTATCTGATCGGACAATTTAGATAAAATTAGAATGAGGTCCATTTTCGCAAAAAATTTGCGAAACATAAACCAGATCATTCCATTGATACAGAGACAAAAATTTGGGTTTAACAGGTCAGGCCATTAAATATAGAAAGCGCCCTTGGTCCACGAAATGCTAAAGGGTGTTCGATATCATATAGAGGAAGCAGATGGTGTAATGTTTATATTAATTTAAATGGTTGCCACTATACGGCTGAAAAAGTTTGAAAAATGCTCAGCTAACTCATGGTTCCTCTTGAATGAAACAGGCTGTAGTGTACAGACTTAATTCTTAACGGGAAGTCGGAACGAAACACGCACCAGAAGAATTAAATCTGTTGGAAATCATTGTGCATTTATAGTGTAAAATATAATCCCCGTGGGCCTAATATTTGACATCATAAAAAGCATCGATCCATCACTGAAACCAACGAACGAACAAAGGAAAGTTTACCCACTAAAGTTGTTAGGGTAGGAATTATTATTATTATTATTATTATTCTTATAAAGAAAACGGGAAAATTTCCGCCGCTTGTAACACGGAAATTTTTCTTATTCTTCGGGCTTTTGGCATTTCTATATTATAAAACAAATATAAAACATTTTTTCCGTATTGATGTATAGTTATATCAACACTCGTGGAAGTTGGGAAAACTCGAAATTGTGTGAAAACACTCCGCCCTTCGGGCGTCGTGTTTCCACACAATTTCTCGTTTTCCCAATTTCCACTCGTGTTGATACAACTGTATATCAACACGGAAAATGTTTTATATTTGTTAAATAGAGAATAATACATGGGTGCGCAGAAATACCAGACTTATTTCGAGAAATAAATCTGGTATTTCCAAGCATCCAGGTATTTTTCTGTTTATTATATAAAGGACAGTCTTTGAAAGCGATATTTTTTGCAGAAAAGCGATAATTGAAAAGCGATAATTTTCATATGTGAGATTATCATAAATAATCTCACATGTCATCGTGAGATTATCAGTTTCATCAGTGCTCGAAATCTCTATAAAGCACTATACTTTATATAATAAATATACATCAACAATAATAATACTTGAATGACTCATTGGACATGTAAAATTTAATATCAATTTCATGTATAGAAATACTATAAGATAAAAGTACCCCTATCACAGAACAACTGTCATTTTTGTTAATTTAGTACATCAGCTTCAGATGGCACCATTCATTTGTAACGATTAAGATTTGTATCGCTATATTATAAAAAAAATATAAAACATTTTTTCCGTATTGATATATAGTTACATCAACACTCGTAGAAGTTGGAAAAACTCGAAATTGTATAAAAACACTCCGCCCTTCGGGCGTCGTGTTTCCATACAATTTCTCGTTTTCCCAATTCCACTCGTGTTGATATAACTGTATATCAACACGGAAAATGTTTTATATTTGTTAAGTATAATTTTTTGTCTCCAAATTTTGTAAAAGTAAGAAAATATAAGAAACATTTCTTAATCTGAGAATAATAAAAAATGTCATAAGTTAAGAAGATAAATAGCCTAAATTAGTATGTTATTTGTAAATATAGCCTGTCATATTTGCCACATTTTTATCTGTAATAATTTTTTTTTCACTAGTTGTTTCTCTTTTTCCTTCACCTTGGTAAATTACTCTTTTAGGCAATTTGATTTAGAGGATTATGCAAGAATTTCTATATGATCCATGCAATATGAATTTCTATGCAAATCTAAGGAATTCCTAGGAATTCCTATTAGATTCTGGTCCAATTTCCTATAGGAATTCCTATAGGAAATTGGGCCAAATTCTAATAGAAATTCCTATAGGAATTCCTACAGGATCTTATAGGAATTTCCATAGGATTTTTTCGTAAGCTGTCTATTGGCTATAATTAAATCCAACAATGTATTAGTGCCGTCACTTCCGGTGAATTAGTAATTATAAGTTAGTATAATAAACAACTATTTATATTATTTATGTTAGTTGATTAGTAGCGAACATTAGTTCCGACAGGTTAATCAGACTATCTTCCCATGTACCCTGTTAACCCTTTAAGTGCATGGCAATCCACCGAGATGCGCCCTACTTTATTATTTTACTTTGTCTAATGCCAGACGATTTTACTCGTCAGGGGGAGAGTGCTATACTGTTGCCACTCAATGGGTTAAAAGGCAAACATACAGTTGTTTATTAATTTTGATCAGTCAAATAGTGATGGATGAAAATGATACAATAGATATTCTACCTGGTTCTATGTACAAATCTGAAACTTTTAGCAAAGATAATGTTGTCATATTTCAAAACAAAGTTGGGAGCATTTTCTGTGAGACAAGTAATAATCTGAAATTTATGCACTGCAATTTGTATACTTTTGAGAGTTTAAACTAATGCATTTATGTTAATTACATATTAATGGCTGTCATATACATATTAATATCCTTTATAAAATAACATGTACATAACGCGTATTCTGATTGGTCGAAACCCGTGTTTGGATCAGGCCATCCAAACACGGAAGACTATCGTGTTGTTGTTATTTTATAAAACAATTACTTTATGGTTTCCGTGTTTGGATGGAATGATCCAAACACTTGGGAATGTTGCTCGAGTTAAGAATAGCGGGCAAAATCACTCGCCTTCGGCTCGTGATTTCGCTTGCTTTTCTTAACCCTCGCAACATTCCCGCGTGTTTGGATCAGGCCATCCAAACACGGAAACCATAAAGTAATTGTATAATACCTGTCACGTTTTAAGAAGAGTTAATTATAAGTATATGACAGGAGTTTGAACAGGACTTGCGAAATACGTATATTATCAGTATATAGTCAAAACTGTATAAAGTGTATAAAGTGTATATAGTGAGTGTTTGAGTGAATGTCCAAAAGTAGGCCTATATAGTGTATATTGTGTTTCAAAAACTCATTAATAATTCACGAGGAAAACACAAAGAAAAATCATAAGCGTGTCGTGGTTTTATATGTGATAAAAAATCATGTTAATTTACATAAACTTTATAGCTCTGATTTTCTCGTTTAGACAAAGTTTATTTTAAAAATTACTTCGCCAATGAACTCGTATAAGATGAGTCGTTTTAGAAGCCATTTAGATACTGTATACTCCTTTTGAAAAATATTAATTGCTACATGTAGTGTTAAGGTCAGATGGCACATCTCTTATCCGTCCTGGACAAATGACCCATTTGACACAGGTAACACTATAATGAAGTAGTTTTTCATTCTTGAAATGGCGATGTATTAACATGATTTTCCAATGGCAAAATGGAATTGGACTGTAACTGTGATTAATTATATAGTTAAGGAACATTTGCTCAATGGCTACCCTCTGTTATATACTGTGCATACTCCTTTTAAAGTAGATTAAAATTGCTACATGTAGTGTTAAGGTGACATGGCACATCTCTTATTCTATCATTGCATGTGATCAATGCTCATTTGTCTTAACAAAGAGATGGTTTGCGCTCTAGCTATCTTATTGACAATTAGATAACAAGTAGCCTAAAGCCAATCAGGATACAGCATTTGCATTAGAACTTGACAACATTAAAAATTACTAAATATATATACTGTATAGACTAATGTGAAAATGAATACATTTAGGATGACGTGTCCCTGATGAAGAAGTGAGGAAATCAACCTATCCTTGAATCTTGGCATCAGGTGACATTGCTTCCTTGGACCCATTGTACATTGCTGCCGTGGGGCAAATTTACTTGCGTTTTGCTGGTAAAAATGTTCCACATACTTATTGCCACATTCCATGTTCTAAATATAGAATACACTCTGGACAGGTGTTTCGAGTGTTTATGCATTTCTAGAATCTAGTCTAAGCTGTCACCTTAAACGGCCCTGCTCATGATGCAGAGAACAAAATTTCTGTACAACAACTTTTAAGTGAGCTTGGACTCCGAAATTAATCATGATAAATACTTAGTTCATATAAATTCATGCATGTTAAAGGTATTTCTTGTCAGCGAGTAATTTATAATAATAACCAATTTTGAACCTATATTTCTCTTTTTTGTGTGTCTTAATGTGCCTGGTTGAAAGTGTTAAATCAACACCTTAAATCTGGTGTTATTTTAGCACCAGACAGGAAGAGGTGCCAAATCAGGTGTTATTTTAACGCCACACTATAGGTGTTAAATCAACTCTTAAAACTGGTGTCACTTTAGCACCTAAAAGTGGTGTTAGTTTAACACTATAAACAGGTGTTAAATTAACCCCCAAAACTAGTGCTAATTTAACACTAAAAAAGGGTGTTATTTTAACACCATATCCAGTGTTATTTTAACACTTTTTTAGTGGTGTTAAAATAGCACCAAAAAGTAGTGTCATTTTTTACCTATTTTTTTAACACCACTTCTTGGTGTTATTTTAACACCCTAAAATTAACAGTGTACTAAAGCACTTGTAGTCGTCTTTTATCACATATAAAACACTCCACTACGCGTCGTGTTTTATATCACTGTTAATTTCAGGGTGTTAAATTAACACCAAAATGGTGTTAAATAAAAAGGTACAAAATAACACCTTTTGGGGTGCTATTTTAACACCGCAATTAAAGGTGCTAAAATAGCACCTTGGAAGGTTCTAAAATAGCACCTTCCAAGGTGCTAAAATAGCACCTTGAAAAGTGCTAAAATAGCACCATGAAAGGTGCTAAAATAGCACCAATGTTAGTGTCACAATAACCCCGATTAAAGTGTTATTTTAGCACTCGATTTAGGTGCTATTTGCATACTTTTCCATCGCTCTCCACCTATATACTTTGCACACGAAAAACTACAAAAATATTAAGAAAATAAATTGTGTATTTACGATTTATATTATATATATACATAGAAGTGGAATAAAAATATGTTATGCTTATCGAGATTCATATTAATCTGACACGGTAGGGAACAACGACATAATTTTTCTCTGCGAGGCCGAGGTTGAATCACGTTAAAAAAGACAATAAATTTTTCGTTGTTTGCTGCGATGTTAGATTAGTATGAAATTAATCATGCTACACTGTTCTTAATTTTATTACTTGCACGTAATGTCCAATTCTTTAAGGAGTTTTTGCACGGATATTCTCTTTCTTGCCTCTTGAGGCCGACTTAGTAAAGTCGCTTCCAAAAAGGCGTACACATTTGATATACCTGGTGTGTACTCCATATTTAAGATATAAAATGTGCCAACCAGAAGAACTACCGCCGTTGGAATGCGATCACTTCCTAGGTTTGAGAAATCAAGGAACCTTTGTCCCTCTGCCGCGATGAACAGTGTTTCGACATTTGCCAGATCTCCAGACCCAATCAGCCTCGGATAGGTGGACTTCTCCGTTTCCTCGTCAATTGATTCGTCATCCTAAAAACAAATATCAAGCGATTTAGGTATCACCTTTTTCTGAATAGAATATACAGCGAATAAAATGACTTTTAAAAGTTGTGAGTGTAAATTTACCATTACACCAACAACTATAATAGTAAAAAACATTTTACTCTACAAAATAGCGGTAAAATCGGCCGTGAGAAAGGCTAATTAATTATTAGCCTAATTGTCGACCAAAAAACCTCTGCGGGGGAGAGTTATGGATCCAGGCCTTCACATAAAGCCTAGTAGATACAGTAACTCTTTTACAAATGGAGAACAAAGTAAAATTCCTGGTTAGAACCCATGCATGCACATATATATTATAAGGCGAAATTCCACTAGCACGAAGCTGATCGCAGAGAATAACTTTTATCCAATTGCAATGCTCGACGGTCAATTTAATTTGAAGCAAGTGCTCGCAAAGAGGAGCTTCGTGCGATGACTGGAATCCTGCAGCCTTTAGCTTAATAGGAATAAGTTATTTCAACATATTCTAATTTTAACCAAAACTTACACAACAGACTTTTAGGAACAATAATTCTCCTGCCTTCTCCTTCAATATATCCTGAATCATCAAGGCAACCACTGTACTCCTTATGTCTAGCGTGAGAAAAACAATGCAAATTAATGAACGAGTCAATTTGCAAGCAAATATGTACAAGTGCATGAGAACCTTAAGGAGCAAATGGGCCTAGGGGATAAGACCCCAAGGGGTAAAGTTTGGAGACCATGCCAGAGGTATTTTGTGGGGAGAATACCCCACCCACTTTGGAAATAGCTAAATTCTGGGGGAGCATTCCCCCACCCCTCCCTAAAAATGGGGGAAGGAATCTTTTGAATATCAATTATTAATATTAAACTGGTAAATGGTAACTAAAGGCATATTATAGAGGTGCAGTTCAGTGTGTTGTAGTCGAGTCTACAACTTACGAGTCCAAGTCCGTGTCCTATACATTCAAGTCCGAGTACAAGTCCAAGTCCCTAGCAAAATTTCAAGTCCAAACTTTTCAAGTCCGAGTCCTAAATATTTCGAGTCCTAAATATTTCGAGTCCAAGTCCGAGATGATAAAGTATATGTATAATTATGATATTTCCACAATCCACAGGCACATAACGCATTTTTGCAGTAGTCACGATGTAATGAAAGTAATATGGTGGTGGCAAAGAGACAGTGGCGTATATAGGCGAGGGGCGACCGCCCCCCAATCGCAACACTGAAAACCATTTTCTCAAAAAGGCTAAATCTGTAGAGAAATTGGGGGGAGGGGGTACAAATTACATGCTCGAAGCTGAAACTGACTATGTATGTGTAAGTATGTCTTGAAACGCAATTTCAAGAATGCAGAAATGTTGTCTCATAGAACCTAGAATTATTTAAATGCAAAATTTCTGATCACATTAGGATTTCAATCCCCCCCCCCCCCAGCTTCACAGTGGGGAAAAAAGGTGACACTGCATGACCTTTCCTCCTGTTTTTCAATGTGACATTTCCAATTTATTTAATTCCGAAGAGAAATGTCTGGGGAAATTCATGTCGTCGATCTCCTTTAATATAATCTTAAATATTGAAATGTTAGTTTAATGACATACCAGATTCTTTGTGTGGATCTTCTTCCAATGCACCCTTCATCATGTTTTCCAATGTTTTGATACTTCGCTTGGTGCACCTGGAGGCGTATTGTATTATACTTTCCTCCAGTGATTTAAAATTGTTGACCATTTCACGTATTAGCTTTGCTTCCCCCAAAATACGACCAAACTCAACCTTAACCTAAAATTAAGAATGCACATGTTTACTAAACCATGTAGGGACAATTAGAAAACAATAGACCTTATGCATAGTGATGTCACGTGGCTTGATGCCCACAAGGAATGCTGGTCTTAGTAGTCATCGCTTGGGAAAATTAAACAATTCAAAATGGCCACTATCGCAATTTTCCCAGGCGATGACTACTAAGACCGCATTGCTCGCGGGCATCAAGCCTTGTGACGTCAATATGCATAAGGTCTATTGGAAACTAATCAGTATACCTCAGAAATCAAATGAAGAGCAGGGTACTCCTCCAGAATTGCCACAACTGTCTTCGGCTGCTTTAAAAAGTTGTGGCGATGATGAGAATATGTCAGTTCCATCAGTTCTCTAATCAGTGGGAGGTTTCGTCTTGACTTTGCCATCTCCTTCACAAGGACTTTCTTGTGTTCTGTGCATGTCTCCTGTGTTTCCCCCTCAGGTAAATGGGGAAAATCAACCAGCTTCCTCTTCTTTGTGCTTGGTTCTGATTTCGGTGTGCCAATTGGTTTTATTTGCTTGCAAGCAGGGGTTTCCCCACATGCCTTCTTTCGCCGTAAATTTTTGAAACGATTCGTAATTGCTTTGCACCATGACCCCTGTACATCAAAATACAACATATTAGACATCTCTCAGACATTTTCCCTTTTAGATATGAGCCTCGTTTGAATAAAAAAAAGTTAAGCCACACTCTCTAATGAGGGGCAGTGGGTGGAGAGGGTCAAATACTTCCAATAACTCTAAGTCTTTCAGAGATAGCTGACAATTTACAGTACGTCTGGTAAAGTAAAATGCCTAAAGAAGGTGCATTCAGGCTCAATTTGCAAGATTATGGGATAACCATTCAATAGGTAGCGTAATTGTGTCAAAATGTACCCTACATTTAGTATTCTCACAAAACCAAACAATTTTACTTGTCATCTGTTTAGATTCTTAGTTACAACTAAAAGCCTTACAAGGTAGAAGATAAGATTTGTACAAACAGTGAGACATGTGTCAGTAATAAAAGGATATCCACTCCAAGCTCGCCTGTTCGCAGGTTAAGTGTGGGCCTAGCTCTGGAGAAATTGAATTGATTCATGTTGCATTTCCAACATGAGTTGCATGCATGCTCTGCAATTGTTGCAAGATATAAGCAAAGTATTTAGGATTTCTCGTAAAAAAAATTATTTGATACTTTTTACAATGAAATCGATTGAAAACAACTAAAAATTCACAGGGAGCAGAGGAGTCAAGTTTACCTAGTAAAACAAGACAAACACCGTCTTACCTTGTTAATTGTAGTATATTTCACAATGTTTATATGGTTTCAGGACAATTTCAATAGATTATAAATTGTAAAATATGCATTTTTAATGCACACATTCGGATTCCACAATAAAATATATTACAATTAGCGAGGTAAGACAGTGTTTGTCTTATGAACGCTTCGGATTGATAGGGATACAACTACCTGATAAATACAAGGAGAAATTCAACATTTTGAGCGAAGGTATTTGAAAGGTCACAAAGCGAGTTTTATCTATAATTGTTACACCTATTCCCTTACCAATGATTTTGCAGATATTTGAATATTTTACTTGAAAAATGCATTAGTGGGCAAGGATTACTAACACTCAAGATAATACTTACAGTGCCAGCTCCAATAGAGTCTGCAAGGAATGGGTACTTTTGAATGATCAGTGATGCAACCTTTTGCTTTTCTTCTGCTGTGGGATACATTGTATGCACCTTTATTGATGAAACAACATCCCTTGTAAACTCGTCACGATGGTTCCCACTTAATTTTCCATCCATAAGGTCTTTATGGACTCTTGGAGAAAACTATATATATAGAAGCAAAGACAATTTAAGTTGTTTTTATAACCTGCCTCAATTTTTAAATTTTCCTGTAAATTAATTTTAAACATTCATACTGTACATTGCATAAAAAAATGTTAAAACTGCTACAAATATTATGCACTATTAAATCCGGGTTCACACTAGCAATTTTATCGGCGATTTTAATTGTGTTTCTGACAGATGCAAATGAGTGAACTCGCACACAGTATGGAGTCACTTTTCAAAAGTAAACAATTCTAAGCCTTTTGCATGTCATTCATTAGATCACATTTGCTAAGAGGAGAAAAATTGCCAACAGAATTGCTAGTGTGAACCAGACTTTAATATATTCACACAATATACCGATTCTGGAAGCTTGTAATCCTTTATCCAGTTAATATTTGCAGCCCTTTTTTCTTTGATAGCAAAACCAGGTGAAGGTGTTTGCGGAATTTCAGTTGGTCCAGGCAATTCTACATCTGGTTGCATTCTTTCCAGGGAGGGTGATTGCACATTAGATGGTGTGTTTGTTCTTATGGGAGTACAGGGGGGTGTACTCACTGTACTAACAGATGTAGATGGTGACGATGAAGCAGGTGTGGTTGGTTAAAAGATAGGAACAAATTGATTTTCTGTTTGAAACCCCTGGTTTTCATTCTGATGCATAATCTATTAAACCAATACAATAAACAATTCACATGTCAGTATTGTCAGACTGCAAAATCTATTATTTTTATAGCAAATTGGGACCAATAACATTATTAACTGATTACAGTAATTGGCAGCACTCTTGCTTTGTTGAGTAGAATTGTCAGGGCTAAAACACTGTAATGGTTGTATACAGGCTGGTCAACTGCCCCCAAAAGTTAATGCATGTGGTAGATTTCTGTTGAACAGTTGCAAAAACTTGAGGTTTGGCACAAGGGTATTCTTTAGAGCAACCGGGTTCACAAATCACAGCTGAAAGTACTTAATAACATAAAACAGACAAATTAATAATATAAATTAGTGATTCTAACTTGACAAACTTCTAGATCTTCCAGAGCTTTTCGGATACGAACAATCTGTCCTCCTTTGATGTTGCAAGCCCTGAGAAGATCATCTGATGTGTTGTTGAGAATATCAGCAGTGTCAAACTAGAAGTAAAATTGACTTTTATTGCCTTTTGGATCATTGAATTCAGAATGCATAAACAGCATAAACCAACCCTCGAAATTCAACTATTTTTGCCTTGGCAAATAGTTGCCGAAGTCTTTCGATAATTTTCGAGTTTGCCGGGGCACATAATGAAATCCCTAAAATTCCTTCGGCAATTACTTCGGCATTCACATCGGCAGTTGTAATTAAAGTACAAAAATTATTGCAAACAAATATTATAACGAGCGTAGATTCTGATGTTTGACAATTTGTTGTTATTTTACAAATTCCTGTTAGTGGTAATTAAGTAAGTATGAAAGAATAAACTTGATAGTAATCATGCGACATCAAGAATAAACTTGATAGTAATCATGCGTCTAATAGATAAAACAAAGTTTCTCGATGTGCTGTCTTTAAACCATCAAGATTGTTCTTTATTTCAGCCGAAGCCGACACTGAAAAGCTCAAATTTAAATATTTTGTAAAGTAGCTATGAATAAAATAATGAAATCTTCTGTTGTTCACCCAACGTCAATGACAACAATTCGAACAAAAAAGTGATACAAAAGACGAACACTGTAGTTTGTAAATCTAAGCAAAAAAAAACCGAACCGGCAGACGCTGTAGTTTGTTATTTAAGGTACAACGGGTGGAATTGCCTCGGCATTTTTTAACTATGAAAAATCGTAACTTGCCTCGGCATTTACGGAGTGCCAGCCAAGGCGAATTTCGACAGCATAAACAGTAGGCTGAAAGCACATGCTGATCAATGCTAATGCAGAAACTAAGTTTTTATGTAACCACTTTCATCAGGTGTAAAAAATGATCAACTGTGTGCACTCACAAGTTCAACGAGCAGTTAATTTAAAGTGAGCCGCCATCCAATGGGATGCATGCATCTAGTAACTTGCAGAGCATGCGCACAAAAAAGTGGGTACTAGGTCTAGAGGTGTGCATTGGATCGGATCATGTGGTCATTGTTTTTATTGCATTTATCACAATATTATCGAATATTGTGATCATTTCCTTGACAATAATCGTGAGATGATTTTTTTAATACCACCCAACCCTGGTGACAACCGCAATAATGCTTTATCAAAATATGCATGGATAATTAATTCTTGCGATAATGAGTGGATAATTAATTCATTTTATTTCAAATATCAAAGTCTGATCAGACTACGAAACAACTTTATCATTCCGATCCAATCCAAAATGTAAAGTTTTGTTCCCAAATCCGACCAAATCTAGATCGGATTTGCACACCTCTAGTGGGTACACTAATTATAATAACTCTGTATATGTATCTACTCTGTGGTCTCACCAGGAATCGAAATTCAAAATGGCCGCCAACTTGTTTAATTATAAACAATCATCATTTGATAAAAACCACTATAATGATTTACAGTAATATCGTTATTATAATACATACTTCCTCATCTTCAAGAATTGAAATGACACTTTCATTCACTCCGGCTGCCTGACACGATGTTAGTAAAACACGATCCATTCTAGAACCGAGAGAAATCACAAATATTCTTATATTCATATGGCTATGCGATAGCACGTGTGATGAACGAAACGTATATTATTTTAAGTCAACAACGCTTACCTTCAATTAAAGAACAATATCAAATTATAACGTAATTCAATAGATTGTTCTTTTTACACCTTTGGGAATACTCCAAAACTATTCAGTTTTGAAAAACATTCGATGATAAATTAAGACAACCAAGCAGTTCAAAGTCGCGAAGTAAAAGGACATTCTAACCATAGAGATTATAAATAATTCAAACGACGCGGCCGCGGTCTGAAACAGATACTCACGTGACACATATTTCCATACATGGAGCAGCAAGCCATATTTGGTAAAGCGCCAGGCTTTCTGGATTGCCTGCGATCGGGCAAACCAATAATATTTAATAACCGTACGTAGGAATGCAACATGGTGGACAAATATGGAATTGTATCGTTGTAGTATTTGTCTCGAATTTGTTGCAAATTCCATTCAAATACTCATAACACATATTGCCCGTATTCATAGCAATGAGCCAAACTTCCACGTCGTGTGTGGAATTGATAGTTGTGCTAAAACATACAAGAATTTCCTGTGGTTACGTAATCATCTGATCCGAAAGCACAACATCGTTAGAATCGTTAATAACAAGGAAAGAGAACAGCGTTTGAATAATGAAGATGACGATTTTGGCGAATTTAATGGAGAAGATGGTGAACGGAATCACGTGGAAGAGGAATTTAACCTTGAAAGAGAACAAATCAACTTATCAAGAGCATGCACTTGTCATCGGCTTCCCCAAGGGGTTGACCCCCGGGCTAACCACGGGGATTGTCCAAGGTGGGGATGCAATCTTAGTGAATTTCCCGGGGGGTTGGAGGAACATAAGAGATCAAAGTCCCGTGGTCATTTCCTTACCTGTCGTGAATCCCCCCCCCCCCCCCTTTAAGCCAGTAAAAAGGCCTATTTAAATCTGATGATACACATAATCATTCAATAATGCTAGAAATACATGCATGCAACAACCTCTCGCCCACATTTTCCAAAATTGTTTCAACATGAAGTACTTTAATAAAGCCTACACGGACGGCAGGCTCGCGTCATGTTAGCCAGCAACCTCGTCCTGGCAGAACCTCGTCCTGGCAGGGACGAGGTTGGTTAGCCAGCTATGGCAACACGATAATTGTTTTCTTAGTTTTTTGTTCAAAACGGCAAAAATAAATCAAAGTTTTACACTTTTAACCGCAGAACTATCGATTTCTAACATATATAAAGTAGGTATGTTATTTTGTTTTGTATGGGCTTTTTTATAATGCAAAATTCAACACGAAACGCTTCGAAAAACGTTTTAAATGTTCGTTGAAATTAACTGCTTTTTGCCGATAAACTCTTCAACTTTAATATTACTCGTACTTTGTAATGAAATAAACTTAAATCCTACAGGTAGCTCTCGAAAATAATTTTCTTTTTTCTTTTAAAAAATATTAAAACAAGTTAACTTTCACATAGTCATAGAATGAAAAGGAAAGCTGTACATGTTCAAGGCTAGCCTGCATGGCAGGCGGTCATTCTCGTACCCAGGGCGTTGACCGCGCGTAAGAAGGGCTCTAGCTGGGTACGAGAATGGGCAGGCGGTTTTAGGCTAGTTCAAGGCCTTCAGGCGAAAAGTCCGAAAACAGGACAACAAAGTCATACATAAACTGTAAAAACAAACATACCCAGGCCTGTGAAAAAGGTGATTTATGACTTACTGTGTAAAAAGATGTCCAAGTTTTCTGTCATCATGTTTTTTTAATATTTGCTTTCTTGACTCCTGGCAAACAGCTATATTTTTGAGATCAGTGAGATGACGACCCATGCATAGCCATGCGCCCGCGATCACTTTAGACTTTGCTGTTCTTTGCTGCTAG